CAGGTTAGTCCATTCAGGGCTCCAGCTTATCTATCAGAAGCAAAGTTCACAATTCGCGCCACTGCTGGTCTCTTCAGGTTGCAGATAACAGCATGTGTAGCGCGTTAATGAGCCCGTCTAGAAACACGTCGCGTTGGCTACTCGCATCAGTTCCGTTTTTCAAACGAGCGCATGTCGCGTCTAGAAATTAATAATTTAAATCATTGGCTGATCGGTGCAGGGGCCATAACAGGGGCCAAGAGCAATTCTACAGGGGCCCTGGCCCACCCTGGCCCCCGTCTAGAACCGCCAATGATCTTGATGTTAATCAAACTCCAGGTATGTCATTCTGTACTATTTGGGAGTCACTGAAGGCATACTTAAGAGGTCAGATTACTTCGTACTGTGCCAACAAGAAGAAGATTTCTAATGGACGTATTATATCACTAACCACCGAAATACTACAATTGGATAGGCTATATAGCCATTGCCCCTCTGCTGAATTACTTAAAAAACGCATATCTTTACAAACGGAATTTGACATTCTTTCTACTCGTCAGGCTGAATACCTTATCTCAAAGACCAGACATGTCTATTATGAACATGGGGGTAAAGCTGGGCGTGTACTTGCACACCAGTTACATCGAAGATCCACGTCTCAGATAATCCCAGCGATTAATGACGAACAAGGTACCACATATACAGATGACAGAGAAATCAACTCCCGTTTTGGTCAATTTTATCAGGCATTATACACTTCCAATGGACCTTGTGGACTGTCTGAATTAGACAACTTTTTAGAATCTCTGGACATCCCCTCTTTAAGTTTTGAGTCCGCTGCTGTGTTGGAGACAGATATCTCAGACATGGAGGTCAGATTGGCGATTAAAAATATGCAAAGTGGTAAATCTCCGGGCCCAGATGGCTTCCCCGCTGAATTCTTTAAAAAAATCCTAGTCCAACTTTCCCCTTTGTTATTGCGGGTTTTCGAGGAATCCCTTGTTTTGAAATCTCTTCCTCCTTCTATGTGTCAAGCAATCATTTCCCTACTACTCAAAAAGGATAAAACCCCCCTCGATTGTGGCTCGTATCGTCCTATCTCCCTTCTGAATACTGATGCCAAAATTCTAGCAAAGATTTTAGCACGTCGGCTTGAGGGAGTGGTTCCAAACATCATCTCTCTTGATCAAACAGGATTTGTGAAAGATCGTTACTCTTTTTTTAACATCCTCAGCCCAATCTTGGAGATGATGAGGTGATTATCTCGCTCGATGCTGAAAAAGCATTTGACCGTGTAGAATGGGATTACCTTTTTAAAATGTTAGAAGCTTTTAAATTTGGCCATAAAATCATATCCTGGATCAGACTTTTATACACATGTCCTATGGCAGCAGTGCGCACTAATAATAATTTATCAAATTTTTTTAGGCTACAACGAGGGACAAGACAGGGATGTCCTCTCTCTCCACTCCTGTATGCTCTAGCTATTGAACCGCTTGCAATTGCCCTAAGACAGAGCTCCTCTATTAAGGGAATATATCGGGCAAGTTCGGAACACAAAGTTTCATTATATGCAGATGATGTGTTGCTGTTTATTTCGAATCCTCTCGTTAGTGTTCCTGAATTGCTGACCTTACTTGTGAAATTTGGGAAAATGTCTGGATACAAAGTTAATCTTGAAAAAACTGAGCTGATGCCTATTAAATCTATGGATGGGGCAGGCATTGGGTCAATCCCGTTCAAGGTTAGTCATAAAAAATTTAGATTCTTAGGTGTATGGGTTACCCGTTGCTTTAAGGATCTGTTCAGGGCGAACTATCTACCTTTATTATCCAGTCTCAAAAATGATTTAGATTGTTGGGATGCTCTACCCCTCACTCTCGGGGGAAGGATTAATTCAATCAAGATGAATGTGCTTCCAAAATTTCTTTATCTATTTCAATGTCTCCCTATTCTCCTAACTAAATCCTTCTTCTTAAAATTAAACAGTCAGATATCTGCTTTTATTTGGAATAACAGGCCACCAAGGGTGAGTAAAAATGTATTGCAGCTGCCCCGCTCAGAGGGAGGTATGGCATTTCCAAATTTCATGTTTTATTACTGGACAGCAAATATTAGAGCGTTGCTGTATTGGATGAGAAGGGATATGACTAGCCCTAGCTGGGCGGTATTGGAACGAGCATCGATTGATGGCACCTCCCCAATGGCCCTATTATGTTCCAAGCTTCCCTTTGAACGATCCATTTCGACCTACTCTTCCAATCCAATTGTTGTACACTCTGTTAAGATCTGGAATCAGTTTAAATGATCATTCAATCTTATGGAGTTGTCGCCTGCTGCACCGTTGACGAAAAACCATATGTTTACTCCATCAGTGCTAGATGAAGCCTTTGATGCATGGCCGCGATTTGGAATAGGATCTCTTTACGACCTTTATATAGAAAATAGATTTGCCACCTTTGAACAACTATCCGAAAAGTTTAATATTCATAGGTCCCAATTTTTTAGGTATTTACAACTTAGATGTTTTGTTTCATCCTGCTTTAGCTGTTTCCCTTTATGTCCCCCAGGTACACTTTTAGACTCCCTTTTCAAATGCAGTGTCAATTCTAAACTCACTATGAGTAGAATCTATTCACTACTTAATTCATATCAAATTACTAGTTTAGAGACTCTTAAGAACAAATGGGAATTAGAGTTAGCAGAAATCATTCCAGACTCTGTCTGGGGGAAAATTATTCGGAACATTTACTCCTCCTCTGTCTGTCTTAGACACGCGGTAATACAGTTCATAATTGTGCATCGACTTTATTGGTCTAAGGACAGACTGTGCAAATTTCGGGTGGACATGGATCCATCGTGTGATCGATGCAAACAAGCTCCAGCCACATTGTTGCATATGTTTTGGTCTTGTCCTAAGTTGTATAGATTTTGGCAATCTATTTTTGACACCTTCTCTAAAATATGTGGGAAAACTGTATACCCATCACCTTTAATCTCAGTATTTGGGGTGGTCCCAACTGACATACCTTTGAGTAGATACGAGTCTATGATGATTGCGTTTTGTTCTCTGCTGGCTAGACGGCTTATTCTTTATAGATGGAAGGACCATCATCCTCCAACATTTGGGCGTTGGATTAGAGAGGTTATGTGTCATATTCATCTAGAAAAGATAAGATATACCATTGGTGGATCTGTTGGGAAGTTTTATGCTATCTGGCAGCCATTCATGTCTTTTGTCGAAAATATGGTCGCAACCAACATAATGACATAATTATGGCCGTGGTGTATAGGTAAGCTATTTTGTATTTTTATTTATTTTTTAATTTTATTGTTATTGTTTTTTAATTTATTGTTGTTATTATTTACTTATTTATTTATTTGGTTTCTTTTCTATTAGAATTATTTATTTATTTGTTTTTCCAGCACTATGGGGATGGGAGAGTGGGAATAGTTCTGTTCTGTTATATTGTGAAATAACAATAAAAAAGACCGTGATCAAAAAAAAAAAAAACTTTAGCTAGCTTGTGGGGGAACGGGGCGTGGGCCGCTGGCCCTGTCAATCATCGTTGGGGTGGGGGTATGCAGCTGGACCAGTCAATCATCACTGGGGTGGGGGCATGCAGCTGGACTTGTCAATCATCGTTGGAGTGGGGGCATGCAGCTGTCAATCATTGGTGATAACGTCATAGACTCATACTAATTTAAAATTTCGCTATAACAAAATGATCCTTATACATTTTAAGAAAAATGTAAACTATATATGTCTGGTGTTTTTTGATTCAGTTTGATGATCAACCTCTAAAGGCCACTTCTTTAAATTTCTTAGCAAAATAGCGAAATAACAGTTACTGCTAAACTGTTTTATTCCTTGTTTGAATCATCAGTGGCTATGCCCTGCTCATTTTCAAAGAGAGTGGCATGTCGCCTCTTGACTAAACTTTTGTAAAGCAAAGCTACCCTTAAAGCACTTTGAATAAAATGTTTCATAGCATGTTTTATACTTATTTTAAAATAACACATTAACAAAACAAAAAAAAGGGTAAAATAACAAATATATCCTAAATTCACGACCGTTCCCTATACCTCCCCCTCAACCCATCATGCAGTTACATATTTATTGGGATAGGACTTGATGGGTTATTTTAGCCGACCAACTTCCCGAGACTAATGGTGAGCATTTAGACAATATGAGAGAGAATTAAATTCAGCGCTTTTATTTACAACATGTGCTTATTAATGGCTGTATATTATTTAATTCAGGCAAAGTTACGTCTTTATTGTGACAGGATTTGACGGATTATATTACGTGACTCTGTGAGTTCGTCTTTATTTCTTAGAGCCAAGCTGCATAAACTACATATCAGTCATTTATGTAACACATCTAATTTGTGCATTAATAGCTTATGTTACATAAAGTTTACTAAATATAGCAAAGCAAGTAAGTATACTTTACCTGTGCACGCAGTTGTTGTTTCCCCTCAGACGCCGTGCTGCAATGGCGATCAGGCGCGTAATTCTCAAAACACCCACAAGATGGCGGCGTTTATCGGTGAACCCGATATTACAAAACCGATAACCGATTATGGTAAAATGCTTAAATATCAGGAAAAGTATTGGTAAATCGATATATCGGTCGATCTCTACTAACAACCAGAGGTGGGTAGTAACGAGTTACATTTACTCCGTTACATTTACATGAGTAACTTTTTGAAAAGAATGTGCTTCTAAGAGTAGTTTTACTGCACAAGGAGTAGTCAGAGAATTCCAGTTCATTCTGGGTTTCTTCAGTCACCAAGCAAACTTTTAATGATTAATCCCATGGCAAAGGACTTGTTCTTGGTACCCCAGTGAACTGTACACCCTCAAGGACATCTTTATTGTCCCCAAGGGGCAATTTATTGTACGTACAGTCAGCAGAATCCACACACACACCAGACAAGCAATAATACTAATAAAAAGACAATAATAAACATAAAAAATCCCCCTGGGTGAAAAATAAAAAGCCAATGGACAACAGATACAATGTAAAAATCACACAGATTTATTTAAAACAAAAAAAACATGTCAATAGGCACTTGGCTCCACAGGCTGGACTTTTGTTGAATGTAAAAGTCCTGCTGTTCGTCCTGCTGTTCTCCCTGCTGTTCGCATCTAGGGATATCAGCTGCAAGAAAGCATGGGAATGGCAGGTCAAGTATCTGAGCCTAATGAACTTAAAGATACTGGACTAGCAAGGTTTGCACCGAAGGAGCTTACCTGTGGATCTCTTTCTGCAAACACACTGGAACAGCCTTGTGAAGAATCTCTTCACAGGGTTCACAGATTCAAACTTTGGCACCCTGTTATGGCTTTCAGATGGCAGTGCATCAGGAGTGAAGCCCTAGGGTGGAAGTTTAAGATATTTCATTTGAACAAACCAATTCTTCAGCAGGCATGAATATCAGTGAACTCTTTGCAAGTGCACTAACCTTGGTGAAAAACTTATGTTCCAGAATCTGCTCTAAAGTGGGCCGATCCTCTGGATTCATCTGGAAAATCCAGGATAGGAGTCCCCGAGCAGATCTAGAGAGC